CAAAGTAGAAGATGTCAGACAAGGAGGTAGCTTAAATCCACTTCTGTTTATAACATTCATGGACGATATAATAAGAGAAGTCAAAATATGGAAAAAGTAGACATAGTAAAGTGTGTATTTGCGGATGACGTGACAATCATCACAGATAATGGGAGATAGATACCTAAAAGAGGACCTTATAGTATGGAATAAAAATAAACATAATGAAAACAAAAGTGTTGTCAATTTCAGGAAGAGAAAAAGCTATGCACACACAAAAAAAGGGATAAAGCAGGTAAAAATGTTTGGGTTGAAATAAACAAAAAATAGAAAGCTCAAATAAAGTGTATTTCTCAATAACCAGAAGATTTATGAATCAAAAAGAGCTTACAAAACAGACAAAAAGGAAATTGTACAAAGCAGTATACAAGCCAGTAGTGGGTACTGATCAAGTGGAAAAAAATAAGAAAGACTTCAAGGTGTGACTAGAACCAATGAAAGTAGAAATGTACAAATCAGAGAAGAATCACAAATATATATATTCAATAGAGAAGCACATCAAGAGAAGACAACCCACACAGAATGGGAAGTACAGTAGGTACCAATGAAAAAAATATGGACAGGCAAGACGCCGGACAAAAAAAAATCCTGTGTATATTATTACTACGAGGGCAATTTTTAATATTATCTACCTAACTATGAAGGAAACCGTACAAAGCTTCAAAAAAAATTATTTCTCTACCTAACAGTCATCTATACTAATACATTAGACCAGCGTATTTTAAAAAAATATTTTTAGTAATTTCAACGGTGTTTTTAATTTTTCAAGCAGTAAATTTCATATTTGGTTTTAAAATACTAATGGTACGGTACAGACACATGAAATTCGAAATTTTTGGCACCATTGCTTTTTTGCTTTTATTTTGTTTTCTCCTATCTTAAAAAGAGATTACAAACATGCAGTGAGCACTTTGTGATGTCCTTTTTCTTTTTCACAAAAAAAGCAAGAAAAAATATATGTATATACAAATTTTCAATTTTAAACATGTTTTAAGTTTGATGGTGTGAAAAGAAGTCTACACGTGTTAAAACAAAAAGGCAAAATGTAAGCCCGCCCGCCCACCCTGTCTCAATTGTGATGATTTTTTTTATTCGTCGTGAACCAGGTGGGGCGGAGCTTTACTGCAAAATACTTATTTCTTTGCAAGAAATTAAAAACATGTTTTTTAGTATCGTGTTGTTCAAAGAAAATTATGTACATTAAGAAAAAAGGCAAAATATTAATTGAAATTTGTCTGAGGGAACTATTGTCATGAAGTGATTTTTCTAATAACAATTATGATTTTTATTTCAAAAATAACTTGTCAACACAGAACACTTGTCACTTGCTTTTATAAAACTTAATTAACTTTGAAGCAGTGATAGCTAATTAAATTTTTTCAAAGGCTCACAGGTGGTGTTTTTTATGTTGACGAGAAGAAGTCCCCTAGCAAATACTTTATGAGTGTAATGATATTGTAATTATTTATTAATTTTATATCAATAATCTGCGTTAAGCAGATTTGCAGAAAATGAGAAAAAGTTTTCCAACCTAACATTATTTTGTTGTTAAAAATAATTTTCAATAAACGTCAGTTTTTGACAAGACTCTTTCTACACTCTAAAAAAGTCTTAAAAAATAATTTTAACAGTCTGCTCCATATGTATTTGCACTGTATACACATTGTATCAGTTAAATACCTAATCAATCTGTTTCTTTTATCGTCCAGATGCAACTTATTGAAATTCTAAAATTTTCATAATTTTATAGAGAACCAATAAAATGAGTAATCAAAACGGAATAGGGGTGGGTGGGCGGGGCCACTTCTGACTTTGTTTTAAATCTTAGAGATTCTACCGTTTTTCAAAATAGAATTCAATTCCCAATTTAACAATAAATAAAATAAATCAGTGAAATGGAGAAAAGAGATGGGGGGACTGGGTTTAGCTTTTTCTACACCCCTTCTTCATTATAGTGACTACTCTTGATAATGTTCAGGCTTATATTAACAAATACTAGCCCCACCCACCCCCCTCTATTTTCTTAGAGGGTATATCCTTTACCAAAATCAGTCATATCTCGGCAAATACAAGTCGCGCCCACCCGCCCTCTATTTTCTTAAAGTTTATATTATTTGCCAAAATCAGTCTTATCTTAACAACTAGTAGCCCCACCCACCCGCCCTTTATTTTCTTAGAGGGTATAAAATTTGCCAAAATCAGTCTTGTCTTAACAATGTCATTTTTAATTATATGATATTTGCTATGCTATAAAATAAAAGTATATGGAGTGTTGTAGTTTTAACTTAACTAACTTAATTTGTTTGACAAACACAAGCTCACAACCCACATGCAAACGTCTCACTGTAAATATAAAAAAAAAATAGGAGTAATTATTAATTACATTCCAATGAATAAAAAGTGTATGTACCTACCAGAATACGTTATTATTAAATTTTTATTTACTCACTTTCAGCATAATGATTTTTTCTTAATTCCTAATGTAATTGCGTCGTAATTTTACTGTTCAACTCAACGAGATGTCAACTTCTTGATTTGTTTTAATATAATTTTTTAAATTATTTTTATCTTTTGATGCTATAATACTTTTTTCACAGTCAAATGCTAAGGTCTTTTGTTACAGTCGAAGCCGTTTTGTTCCTTACCAAATACATGAAACTTGTTTTTAATGTAAGTACAGCAATTCGATACAAACGTTTATAATAATAAGACAAACTTGTTTTTTTGATTAAAATTTAAAAACTGCTTTACTCATTCTTAAACAGACATAGATAATCTTGTAAGTATTAGTTTACAAAATATACGACACTAATATATTTCTTGTTTAGTATTTTAGATTTTATAACTTTTCAATCGTTTTCTAAGTAGTGCTTTTATTTTTCAAATTGTCCCCCCAAAGGTAAACACTGTTTTTGCATATTTATATTAGAAAACAATCACTGTGCGCATCAATTTACTCTCAGAATGTTGCAAAATTAACCTCTTTTATTTTTTTACGCAGAAGTTAGTAAACAACTATCATATTTTATGGCAATTTCTAAAATACTATGGTCTTCTTTCATCTTACGTTTCAGCATTTATAATTTAGCTCCTCCTACTAACTGTGACCACTAGGTGAGAGAAAATAAAATGAACTGTGCAAACGTCTTCTCATATGATCATTTCTTTATCTAACTAGGTAGTACTGCCTCGCTATGACTCTAGTTGGGCTGGAATGCTTTGCTCGTGATCTGCATAACTGTAACATTTTATTAGGTATTGATAATACAACCGCGTTCTCTTACATTAATAGACTTTAAGTTATCGATCCACAACAGCGACATTTGATAATCCTGAGATAGACCTATTTGCATCCTACCTAAACCATGAATGCACGACTTAGGTATTCTGGTCTCTAGACTCCGGCTTGCTGGCGGTAGACTCATTTACGCTGTCATAGAGCCAATTCTTTTTCTACACGTTTCCACCTTTTTCGCTTATATCGAGAATCTTAAATAAGATCATTCTTGATATGGCAGAGGGTATCTTAGTAGTTCCGGAATGGTCCACTCAACCGTGGTACCCACTGTTCCAAAAAATGTTACTTGTAAATCCTATACATTGGGACCTATTACTGAACTATTTTCTTCTCTTTTCAATTTAGTTCACCCACTGGCAGATTCCCTTATGTTGACGGCAGGACTTGTCTCCGGCAGGCATATAAGCAACGAAATTTGCCAGAGTCAATCATCAAATGAAAACAGTATCAGGTCACCTACAAATTGTGGTGGATTTACTTAATCAAAAAGGCGTAACTCCATTCTGTGCTACACATGTTGAATATCTACGTCCAAAACTTTTCCTAGGTTTTACCAGCGACCTCTGGTTCTAACACTTTCTGTATACGGATATATGTATATAACATACATATTTTTCAGTTGCGCAACAATATTTCTTTAAACTTTTGCCTAGTTAGATAAAGAAATGTTCAGATGAGAAGACGTTTGCACAGTTAAATAGGGCAAACGATTTTATGATGTTCGATCTTAATTGTGCTAGTCTCGCCCACCCTAACGTGCAAGAACAGCTCTTCCAAATATTGTTGCACGCTCACTTTAAACTTAATGCAGCGCAGCGCCAACTGGAGTGCTGTACTACCTAGTTAGATAAAGAAATGTTCAGGTGAGAAGACTAGCAAAATTAAGGTCGAACATCATAAAATCGTTTGACCTGTTTAATTATACTTATCATCGAAAAGCTGCTCCTTGTTTGACGTAAGTTGCCGTCAATGTAACCGTTAATGAACGACTTTGTGTTATTGGGTGTTTAATTTTTAACACTGACAAGTGACCGATTTGTTAGCTTTCGGGATGATGTGATGTGTCAGTTGTACAGTAACACCACCCTAACAACTGCCCAAAGTCAACTCTAATTCGTTTTATTTTCGATCGCACGGTATTGTTTAATCCAGTGGATGAATTATTATCAAATACTTTGGTTATACCAAATCTGGTAACAAATCGATGCATTTCATACGACATAAATATACCCAGATTTCGTTTTACATTTTTACTTCAGATAATAGTTTAGGCAGTGGGAGGTTATTACTTATCAGAAACAACAAATTAGGAAATATATGTAAAATTATTAAGATCAACGTAGTTTCCAGAGTGAGGGTGGACTTTCTTTCAATCTAAAAACCAAGCATAGTCATGAAACAAGACCCCATCAGATCGATCAGCGTGCAATTTTAATATGTTTGTGCAAGTTCGTTCGCTTTTCTAACAACCGAACAAATTATCGTAAAAATTCTAAAAATAAAAACGTTTCTTCTTATTGACGAGCTATAGCGATATGTCATAAAACGAAAAATAATATGAAACGTATACTTTCTGACAAATAATGTGGAGTCGAATGCCGAACAACGATACATCAATCATTTATATTTCCAGCTCGATTCCTGTCAAGACAACTTCTCTTACCTCGCTTTCGGAGGTAATCTTCAATCATGACGGCGCTTATCATAAACACATTACCAACACTTCCGACGGCTGCAAGAGATGCAAGAAATATGAGCCGTGCCAGCCTGGACCAATCAGAACTGAGCGTCACCGGTGACACCGACTCCATTCCTAACTTGGTATCCGTCATGTTCGATACCATGTCCACGCACCTGCAATTAACATAAACATCTTCATAAGTTTTCATGTTACAACTTTATTCACAATAAAACGTTAAAAAGCTCGTCGCATTTTTATTTGTAACAGTAAGGGAAAGACGTAGGAAGAAATTCTAAACCTTTTACTTCACATTTAGGAACCATTTATTCAATAAAAACTGAATTAACACTGACTATTTACATTAAATAAATTAGCTACAAATCTTTTTTCTCTATTCCACTGTTAAATATTGCAGATGAACGCGTAAAACTGTATCCAGTGTATGACATCAAAAAACAAGGTCTATTTGTGCTTGATTTTCGTTGACATGCCTTCTGCAAAATTCAACAAAGTTGGTAGAAACTGGACCTTGAACGTCGCTATCCATTAATTTAGCCATTCCCTCTGTTTAGCAGTTTCACAAATTCGTGGAAATATTTACTTCGTTAGATATTAATTCACACTCCCATTAAATATTCATCATTTGGGGCCTCCATTAAAATTTTACCTATTTGTTCTGGAGTTTCGATTTATAGGGGTCGGTTTGTGTTTTTAGAAAAAGTGATCTATCTGGGAAATTCGCTGATATCGACTTTATTCTTAGTTCCAGTTTGAGTTTTCAGCACTGAATGTTGTGATACGAGGAATTTCTTAAAGTTTTTATTTATTTTCTCTAACATTGTTTAGAAAAGTCGTTAAATACTTGGTCATACACTTGTCTAGACTCTGTAGACAGGAAAGACAGATCAGCACTGACTGTTCTTTTTTCGTTGGTGGTAAAGCAGTAAAATATTATCAAAATATTTTGATATATAGATACTTTTCTTATTTATTAATAAGAATCTTGCTTTCATGTAAAAAAAATATACACATTTATTTCGAATCTGGCTACTTTCTTTTAGGCTCTACAACGTATTTAACTGAATTTCCATATTATTGCCTACCGATCTGTATTTGCCGCATAATGTAAAATGATAAAAATTCTGCTTTGTGGTCGAACTGTGTAGGCAGTTATCGATGGATACAAAATTCTTTATATATCTTATCAACCAATTCTTATTTTATGAGTTTTCTGTCATTTCATAAAAGGTTCTGAAAATATTAATACAATATGATTTGAAAGCAAAGATTTTTATAGTCGACGAAAGCAGATGATGCACATCGTAGATAACAGAAGATTAATTATTTCGTAATTTATTTACTGCTCATTATAGCAGCATATGGAAATTCATCTTTTTAACTCTAGAACCAAAAAGAGGGTTGTTAGAATAACTCTGAAACCTTCGTCGGTCCGTGGCACCGTAGCTCCCAAACGAATGAACCGATTTCAATACGATATTTTTTGTTTAAAAGCTGATTTAATCGGGATAGTTCTTAGCTAATTTGATGATTATCACTTCAGTATTTCAAGATTATCAGCTCATAATAAGACATTATTTATTTATTTATTATTTATTCAACATAATCATTACGTAAGTACCTCATAACCATTGAAGCAAACTTTTGTGTTGATAATGTTGAATTATTGGCATCAGTTGTCAATTTTGACATAAGCGCGCTAACAAATAAGTTGACTGTTTGAGACGATGGCAGCTGTCATCAATGTCGTTTTGACAATGAGTAATGCCATCATAAAACTTTAAATAGATTGCAACCTGACAAAAAAAATCACAAACATTAATACTCACGAAGTCAGAAAATGTACTGGTACTTTATATTTTCTACAACATGCCATACGTTCGTTAGAAGCTCGTAATAATTACTAAATCAAAAGATCTGTTTAAAATTCAGTGAGATCCTCGTTATGCACTGATGATCGTTTGAGAGTACACGGTCAGTCGAACTTCGGTGGAAATTTATCATACTACCATTTGAGGAGCAGGTTGCTTTGACCTGGAATTAAATTACCTTTCAGAAAGCGTAACACAGTGATAAAAAGTTGACTGATAACCAACTGATTTTTAAACTCGGATGGTTTGTACACAGCGAGCTTACACAGAAATCCAACGATTGCCAGAACATCTCCAGAATTTTTTACGAACCGGAGATTGAGAAATATAGATGCCTACGCACAACATACAAACTTTCACCTTTAACATTTAATTTGGACGGAGATAGTGAAATGTATAAGAGTAATTAAAGCGTCTCGAGTTTATGGAGCGTCGTAGTGTGAAATTGAAAATAACACTAAGTAAAACAACTTGTACATTATCAAAAGGTGACGTGTTACACGCCAACACAAATCCATTATTTTCTGTCCTTCAAGATCTCTAGAGGAAATGAGCCTTATATTGTGCTACACACTCCCATAAATGCACAATGTAGTCTTTTAAAAACACCAAACAATATTTCTTATTTGTGGAAACAGTAGGTATTACTGGTAGTTTAGTAGCTCCATAAATTCGAATCGCCAATTTTGTCTTCGCCTTACTCGTTCAATACTTACAATGCATTTGCTGTTGAACTTCACTTAATACCTTAGTTATAAGCAATTTACGGTATATAAAGGTTTACAAGGTATCATAAATCAGAAGTAAGCAGGTATTAAAGGTTTCATTCTCTTAAAATAGATCTTTGTACTGTAATTTATGGTAGTAATTGTATGCTGTTGTTGTACATTGCATTAATGCTTCCCTAACACCGTAAGGGGTTGATCGTGCTGTTCCAGATTTGTTTTTTATAAAAACTCCATAATGTTGGCAGGCTGTAACATTACTAATTCATTTTCAAAAAGCCATTCGAGTTGAGTTTTATATAACGCCCATTCTTATAAGCTGGTTTTGGTGCCAACATTTTGCGTAAAATTTATGTTTCTAAATTCACTAGAATGAGCGTTATGTTGGCAGCTATGAAAATCCACATACTGTAACAGCGAGTTTTCCATTTATTAACAAAAGCAATAACAGTGTTTATAAATAATTAAATCAATAATGAGTTTTCAAACAGTATTTACAGTATGCTAAAAAAATTTAGTGTATACTTAACTACAAATTGTTATGTTCCAGTGTTGATAAGGAAAACAAAAATCCATTTCGCCGAAGTGGGAGGGTCTACGATTAATATTGTAATGTCTATGAATAAATGTATTATAAAAATATTTTTTCTAAGCAGAATTTTTTTGAAAAATATTTTATTTTAAAAATCTTCTAGATGCAGGAACATCATTCGATGGTCGGTTTATAAAATTTAAATCTAAGTGCATATTATTCTTGTTTCCTGAGCTAAACAAAAAAGCTGCCACTTTTGTGAATACCATTAACACCCACACGGATGTTACCCTGAAGTCTTTCCTCGGTAAATTCTGTAACGCTGTTAAAAACAGTGTGGATGACACATTACGTGAAATAAGAGAACTTATTTTGTGCCAGAACGATACAAAAGCATTCACTCTAAAAGGGCGAGATTCTTAGCATACAGGAATAAAATTTTAAATCCGGAGCACGCTCACAAAACTTCCGCATTTTCGTCTTTCGTTTACAATATCGATACTCCCATTTCAAAGTCCCAACAAAAACGTATGAGGAAAACCTACTACTACCACTACTACTGATAATTCTGTCACACTCCAGACAAAATTCCATCACTATAACGATTTGCCACAAAATTTTCAATCTAATCTCATCAATACCGACGATGGATAAAATCTCCAACAACTTAATTTAATTGGACACTGATAAGTGATCAAGTTATTACTAATAGAGGAGAACTGGGTACAAAAATACTAAAAAGGATACACACTAAAACAACAGCCAGAGTATCAATCCGGAAAATTTCCAAAAACACAAAATAGGTTCTGTACCGATAGATATAAAAGCCAAATTATTACAGCTAGAAAAATTTTGTTACATTTATGTGTCATATCTTTCTTCTGCATAACTATCCAGGATATTCAACTTGTCTTGAAAGAAGTAGACGCTCGGCTGATTTGGAGGTTGAGAAACTCGAACAACCAAATAAAAGAACTTCCTCAAGTGCCTTCACTACCAAAGTGCCTCAACGATACAAAGCTCAGTTGTTAGACCCTGATTTTTGGCCGGTTAATATTTACATAAACAAATGTTTTGTATTATCTGAATATTTAGTGTTCAAAGGCCGTTTTACACCATCAATAATTATAGCCAGAATTGTGGCAGTAAATTTGTAAACAAAATTGTGGGCCGTATAATACATGTCGTTATGGCCCATTTTGCGTTAGTAAAAATAGAACCTTTCTAATTTTACGAACAGAATTTCACAACACAAAAGGTACCATAACGACAATTCATGTTTTACATGACCCACAATTTTGTCTACAAATTTGCTGCCACAATTCTGGCTATAATTATTGATGGTGTAAAACAGCCTTAAGTAATAAGGCTGATATAGTTAATACTCCGTTTCAGTGATTCTATTTTTTGAGTTTCTGAATATTGGCTCATTTTAGACAATTATTCTTTAAAGTCTTCGTTTTGTGGGCAGCCTTATTTATATGATTGTGTTGCCATATTTCTACATAAAAATATTCGTAAACTTTTTTAAGTCGTAAATATACAGAGTCGCTAGAATGTATGGAAACGATTAAATATCTTGAGAACCAGTTGTACAAATCAACTGAAATTAGGTTTGGGGGTAAAAGAAGTTGTGCTCTAATTATTCGTGAAATTTTTTTTTTTTAATTATTTGTTTTAAAGATGCAAATCCAACTTAATTTTTTTTAAATGACAATCCCATATAATTAACGCATTTTTGAATAGAGCTTTTTTCTGAATTCATTGATATAGCGCAATCATACTTTCTTTCTGATTGAAATGGCAAAATAAATTATTAAACAATAAATAAATTAACCAATAACAACCGAAACCAAAATTAAACTTCTCTTTTCTACAAGAAATTCGCAAAATGCTTTCCATTTACTTCCAGGTGGTAAAAAAGACGCTGAATAAAATTTTGTAGTGAGTTAATGAGAATTTTTGGACGAATGCTACCAATTTTCTTACGTATGCGTTTTTTCAAATAGCCACAAAA